CACAGAATTCGTGCCCCCCTGAGCCCCTCTTCCTGGTGTAGGCCTGGGATGGTGCTCACTGGGAACTATCCTCCCCCACAGAGAGACGGCCCACCTCTCAGGTACATGAGAACTTGCTCACTGTGAAGCCCTGCAGACATGGGTTACAGGGCCTTGCCCTGGTGCCTCAGTCTCCAAATCTGTGAGTGAAGAGAAAAATGACACCTTCCCCTGGGGTGTTAGGATCAAAGGTGTTCATGTTTGGTAATCTGCTCTGCGAGTACCGGGACCTGGAAATCACTAGAATATGAGTCCTTCAACAAGTAGCCTTCATTACTAGGAAATGCTTCTTCCCTCTGGCCCACACCCCTCATGCTCCAGTCCTTCCCCTGCCAACCATGTCTTCATTTCTGACGTGGAAGGTGGGGAAGCCCTCCAGACTCCAGGCCTCTGGAAGAGGTTCCATTCTCCTCTGACAGGTGCTCAGAGGACAGGCAGCCCTGTCAGGAGCCTGATGAGTCTGTGCAGAGGGAGAGCCCAGCAAGCTCCCTGCACTGGGAGGCACATGCAGTATCTGGGGACAGGGACCATGGAGGGAGTCTGACAGGGCAGGAGAGGGGAAAGTTAGAGATGGAGAAGATTGAAGCAGACTGGCAAGTTCAGCCATGCCAGGGCTTTTGGACAAGAAAGTGTTCCTGAAACCAGGAGTCCAACAGTGTCATTAGGACTCCACACCAGTCCATGTCTGTGTGAGGAAAGAAAGGGGAAAAGCACCATCTGCACTTACCTTCTGGCCTGGCAGCTGAACGCAGTGTGGCTGAAAGACAGAGAAACAGATGAAAACTGGAAGGTATTGGGAGTCAAGGCTCAAGAATGGGAAATGTGGCCCTTGGAAAGAGGAGCCAGGTGCAAAGGGATGGCGCTGAGCCCAGAGAGGGGAGACTGTCACCTCCTGATCCCTGGGGCAAGCCTGGTCCCACCCAGGCAAGGGCAGAAAGAAGGACTGGCATTAGCATTCAACCAGGAGCCCATTCTGAAGATTTCTGCCTGATTGGCAATTCCACTCCACTCCAGTGAATGTTCCCACTATGGCCACAACAGAGAAGTGGGTTCTGAGAAGGGCGACCACCTCTGCTGGTCAATCCATGAAAGTCTGGGGCTCCTGAGTAGCTCAGTCGGTTAAGCATCAGTCTTTGGCTCAGGACATGATCTCGGGGTCCTGGGACCCAGTTCTGCGACAGGCTCCCTGCTCACGGGGAAGTCTAATTCTCCTTCTCCCTCTGCCCCTCCCCCCACTCTTGTTCTCTCTCTCTCTCTAGCTCTATCCCTCTCTGTCTTGTTCTGTTTTAAATAGAAAAAAATCTGAAGAAGAAAAAATAATCCATGAGATTCTGGCTTCCGGCTGAAAGCCCCTTCTCCCAGGAGCCCCTCAGTCCTGGACAAACAACAACAGTTGGCCACCCCAGTGTGACCTGACTATTTCCTGTAAATCCTGTAATGAGACCAATGATCATTTTGATGTTGGAGTAAACCAAAAGAATAATATTTTTTATTTGGCAGAACTGAACCATTTGATTGATGGAAGGTTCCCTGTATCAGGAGACTGGGTTAAGTGCTTGGATCCAGGAGACGATATCACAATCACCTGGCCTCCCACGATGGCCTACACTGGGACTTGTCATCACGATGTGACATGGGGAGCCCAGCACAGCCTAGGATGCAAACAGCCTGGGTGACAGTCCTGTGGGAACAAGACTTCATGGCGTTGGGCAACTTGCTTACTCTCCATCAGCCTCGGTCCACTCATCTTAAAAAAAATGGGGATGTCAGCAAGAACTGCCTAAAAGGGTCTGGAGGGCATTCCACGCATGGCATGGCTCAGGGCCCAGCACAGCCAAGCACTCCACAAATGTACCTGTCTCTGTCAGCCTTGTATGACATTCACCACACTTCTCAATCTCCATTTTAGTGCTGTCCTTGGTACACTGGCTATCACCACAATGCTCTAGAGTCTCTCGCACACGGGACACTGTGAGTCCATCTCCAGCTGTCCCTCCTGGGTTCTAGTGCTGCATGGTCAGTGGGGGCCCTGTGTCAGGAGGTACACATGACCCCTGGGGTGTCCACTCACTCAACCTGGGAAAGATCTAAGTCATGGTTTTCCAGAAAGCAAGCCTCAAGTTCAGAACCCCAAAACCTCCCTGTCATTTTGAGTGACATCTCTGGACTGGACCACATCTCCCATGAGCTTCTCTGCTCTAGATTTGTAGGTCTTGGCCTTGCAACATGCTCCCCTTTGTAGCAATTCAGGACACGCCACCCTAACATTGCCACTTTGGCCTATTGACAGATCTGAGCTGAAGGCACTTGAGAAACAGCAGAGGCAGGAAGGGCTCTGATCCACACTCTTCTACTTACAGAGCATCCATGGACTTTTTCAGGAGGATGGTGGCCTCCCTGTCCCAAGGCTAGAGGTACCTTCTCCTCACCACTTGTGGTGGCCACAGATTCGGGTCTGTGTACACCTGACTGAACTCAGCTCTTACACTATTCCCTAGACAACATGGACCCAGGACCACTAATCTCCAGCCCCTACCCACATCTTTTATTTGGTCCTTGCTTGACGCAGGTGACCTTTTAGGTCCAAACTGCATGAACATGCTGCTCTGGCCACTGCCTGGGGTCTTCATCTGTGTGGGAAGGCCCTCACGGACAGGCACAAAGATTTAAGAAAAATGTCTACTCTTCTCTCCCACTAAAGCCTCAGGTTGGGTAGAATCTTGGGCCAAGCCAGAGAACCTAAGAGGGTAGAGAAAAGAAGTTTCTCCCCTACTCCTCAAACATACTTAATCCATTAACACCTCTGGCTCTAAGATGACTCATCACCAGAGTAGCTCCATATTTCCAGAAGGAGCTGCCTTCTACTGATAGAAGCTTTACTTGGAAAAGCCCTGCATGGTTCTGTCTCTCTTCAGGACAGCCCTGCTGAGTGTGACTCCCGTACAGCTGAGGATCAGACGGGTTGGGCCACTCAGGCAAGGTCTCACAGCACTTCGGAGTTCCTGTCTTCAAGCCTGGACACCTGCCTCTTTTCCTGGGAGCTGCCTTTTTGTGCGCCGCTGACCCCGGGGAGACAAAAAGGCCACGTGTATCAGATCAGTCCCTCCAACCAGATTCTTTGGTTTCTCATGATCTGTGCTTGAAGGCCCTGTGGACTGTGCTGAAGGGCAGGAACCTTGCCAGTTATCTCTGTGAGGATGGAGACAGGCCTCCCCAACTGGACCAATAACATTTAGGCAGAAGAGGGCAGGCAGAGGTGCAGACTGGTATCTGCAGAAGTCTTGGCAGGAGAGCGGGAAAAAGTGCTCCATGGCAGGGGCAGCCCTTCAGGCGATATGGACTAGGAGCAAGGGAGCAGAGGGAGAACTAGCCAGGCTGGGAGGGGCTGGATGAGGGCAAGAGAGAGCAGAAGAGGCAGGCAGAGTATGGAAGGAGGAGCTGCAGAGAAAGGGGACAGGTAAGGGAGAGACAGGGAGACAGAGAGAACCAGGGAGATACAGTGGTTTCCTGTGAAATGGATGCCCCTCTTCTCCTCCTGGCACCCAGGATCAGGGCAAGTGTCTCTGGGCATTGAGTGCAGCCCCACGGCCAGGCCTTTGTAGGGCTGGTGACTGTGCCTCCTTAGGGCTTTGGGCCCTGGCTGGCACCTGCTGTTTTCTGCTTTTGATTTGTGAAGGAGCTGTTGCTGCCATGTCCACTTGTTTGGGGCACATGCAGACACACCCACAAGCTTGGGCCTCTCCAGAGGCCCCTGATTCCCTGACGGATGCCCACCCTGACTCAGGTCAAGCCAGGATCCCCTCCTCCAGCACCCGCCCGCTGTCACATGTCCGAGAACACCATCAGCCCAAGCCAGGTCTGATTCACCGCTGCCAAGTCCGGGGTGAGCCCACGGCTGGTCCCCCAAAAGACCCCATGGCCAGTTTGCTTCAGATAGGAAGGGACAAGGAGGCCCGCACACACACGTCAAGAGAGGGACAGAAGAGCCCAGAATTGTGCAAACAGAAGGATGGCATCAAGCCGGGGTCATGGTCATTTCTGCTCCTCCCCTCCTCCTCTAGCCGAGGCCGAGGGCTGGCGTGTTGTTGGAGGAGGGTGTCTGGCAGATTGTCACCCACGGGGCTTCTACGGTGGCAGGAAGCAGAGGGCCCAAAGGCTGTCAGCTGAGCAGGAGAGCGGACAGAGAGGGGCTGCTGGGCCTGGTTACCTGCATTGAGCAGCAAGACCCAAGGGAGGACGCTGAAGAGCCTCACCTCGCAGGCCTGGCAGCAGCCTCGGGTGGGTGGGCTCCAAAGGCCCCTGGTTATGTAGACGCGGCTCCTGAAATCTAATCCCCTGACCTCCCTCTGCTGTGAAGCCAGCAGCGCCCCAGGAGCACTTCTTTTTTTTTTTTTCTTTTATTTCTTTTATAAACATTTGTTTATTTTTTTCTTCTAACATCTGGAATCTGTGGATTATCTTTTTTTAAATATTTTATTTATTTATATATTTATTTATTTATTTTTATTAATTTCTTTTCAGCATAACAGAATTCATTGTTTATGCACCACACCCAGTGTTCGATGCCATACGTGCCCTCCATAATACTCCCCACCTGGCTCCCCCAACCTCCCACCCCCACCCCTTCAAAACCCTAAAGGTTCTAGGGGTAAGCGTGGGCACCTGCCCACCACCCCCTGTCTTCCTCAGCCAGGTTCACTGTCTTTCTCACCTAGACTGAGACGTGATGGGCAGAGTCGCCTCCCTCTGTGGTCCTGGATGAGACAGCCAGGCTGGCCACAGGCCAACACCTCCTCCTGTGTGGAAAGCCGTCCTGCCTGGGGTTAACTCGGAGCTCTCCCCCCTCTGTTCACTCGCATGAGCCTCAGAGCCCTGCCGGGGAGGCAGGCCAGCTGGCCTGGACAGGTAAGGAACAGAGATACCAGGAGACTTGCCCAAGGTCAGGCTGACAGTGGCAGAACCAGAAGAGGAGGGACCTCCTCGCTGTCCATTGTCACTGAGAGCCCTCTGTGGGTCACTTGGAGCAGAGTCACCAGAATAGCCCTGTGGCAGCTCCGGGTGTGAGTCCACACTGGTGGAGTCGGTGTGGGGCAGGTCAGCCTCTGGGGGAGTGTGACCTCACGGATGACAGGTGTACACAGGTCTGTATTTAGTAGATCTGCCCGATACAGAGACACCCATGGTTAGTCTGGGGCAGTGTCGCCGCTGCAGACACACAGCACGGCCCCTATGGCAGAGAGTCTGGCAGCTTCTCAGGAGGTCACACAAGAGGGACCACGTGGCCCAGCACCGCCACGAGGTGTACATTCCAGGAAACGAAAACACGCATCCCCACCGGAAGTGGCTCATGAATGTTCACGGCAGCAATACTGTAAGAGCCAAAAGTAGCAACAACCCCATATCCATGCCCCCAAGAATGGAGAAAAACACCAGGGTCTATCCACACAATGGCAGTCATTTGCCCCGAAGAGGCCACGGTGGCCAAACTGTCCAACAAGGAGCATTAGTGATTTACACGCCAACTCAGACAACATGAGTGTCCCTTTTCCAGAAACAGGAACAAGTCCAGATTTCCCCAAATCTCTCAACAAGTCTTGCTGGTGACATACGGGAGAACTAAGAGCCAATTTTTAAATGTGTGCATTTCTCCAGTGTCCAGCGAGGTCGGCATCTCCCTCTGTGTCCAGGCCACCTGCAGCTCTTGTGGGAAATCCGTCCCTATCTTCGGGCCATTTTCCTATTGCTGTTGCGACTGCATCCCTTTTCTTCCAGAATGTAGAAGCTCCCTGTCCTTCCAGCCCGTATCTGCTTTTCAGAGGGCCCTCGTGGCTTCACAGTGTGAAGAGCATCGTACCTCCCACGGTACAGCTGGGAACTGCCGCAGTCCAGCGGGGCTCGTGCCCTCCCAGCAGAGGAAAGACAGAGGAAGCCAAGTTGCAAAAGACACGGGGCCCGTTCTCCTTCGGAGGGTCGGGCCTGGGCTCTGGCCGGTGTGAAATGCCGTAGCTCCCTGAGGTTCTCCTTCGCACTGGACTCTCCTGTCTTACTCCTTCCCAAATACCCCTTACGAGTACTCCGCACTCACACGCTCCCTGTGCCCGGTCTGTGGGGTGGACCATGCAGCCCCCGCGTCGGGGTAAATGCCCCGAGGGAGCAAATAGGACGACACTGGAGAGAGGCTCGTCCTTCATCTTTCGTCCCAGCCCAAGGTCCCTGGGTCAGGCCTGCTGTCCTCCCCCAGCAGCAGCCAAGCTCGGTTTGCCAGCCTGGGAGCAAAAAAGAAGGCCCAGTTCCTTTTCCAGGGTACACTTGGGAATCCAAGTCTGAGGGACCTTCAGTCACACTGTCCTCTGTTGGAAATATTTAAGTTACTTAAAAACATTTAAGTTACATGTCTCTGGAGCTTTGTCTCCAAATGTTACGCCTAATTCCCCAGTGGCCCCAACAAATCGGTTTTCTCCCCTTCCCTGTTCTTCTTGGGGCGCTGCCCCCCCCCCCCCCCCAACAGATTTTTCCCTCCTTCTCCATGACACTGTAGGACTTTCTCCACCTTGTTCACAAACCCCTGGCCTCAGTGCCGCCCACCAGTCAGAGCTTCCAACTACTGTCCCCTGATAACGTCCCACGGTTATGTCATCCCCTTCCCGGCGTCCTGACTTTTACTGTGTGGGGCCGAGCGGCAGGGTCTGGTGGGCCCTGTGGAAGTCACCCCTGCAGAGACTCCGTGTTTGTCAACAGAGCACCACAGTTTTATCCAGATTCCAATTTCTGCCCTATGTGTCCCATGGGCCCAGGGAGAGGCTGAGCCCCAGCTCTGAATCCTGGCCTCAGTGGTGGGGAAAGTGGTTGTCACCAGGAGCTGGCCTGGCTCCTGGGTGACCAGTGTAGGGATGAGCCTGGGACCCCAATGGGACAGTGAGGTGAAGGGAAAGTGTGGCCACAGAAGGAGAGAGCCAGCTGTTGTCCCCGCGGGGCCATGCCGAGAGGGAGGCCAACCCACCAGCAGGCAGAGCAGAGCAGGGCAGGGATGCCAGCCCTGAGCCCCTGGGGGACCTCAGCCCTGAGACCTCCCCACTCACTTACAGCTGAAGGCGTCAACACCTGTCCTTGTTGTACAAGGCAGTTGCAGCTGGCGTGTGTGTCACGTGCGTCTGAAAACATCCGCATCCCTGTAGGTCCCTGGAACCGGAAAGCCAAGCTCTCATCCTTCAGGGGGTCTTGCGAAAAGAAGACCAGGCTGTTTTCTGTTCGAGACCCCACGCTGAGCCGACTGGGCCCAGCTCCTCATGTGTGGAGACCTAGGCAGCCTGGGCAAGTTTTTACAGAGCCAGCTTCCCCGGTCAACCCCTCAGCTCCTCGGAGGCCCTAAGGTGTGTATGCATGTGCGTCCCTCCAATCTGGAGCCTCACCAAAATCTCCAAAATCCAGGCAAAGCTGTGTGAAACTCCAACCCACTGACTATCAAGAATAATCTGGATGTAGGTCAAAATGTAATGGCTGGGAAAGACCCATCTGGAAAGTTTACATAAAATCACCCTTAATGACTTAAATACTATCCAGCTCTACTGACTGGATTTTCAAAGGTCCTATCAAGAACATCGTGCCTCAGATCAAATTCATGACTGCCTACGGCTGTCTGCGGCTTGAATTCCGTCGTTCTATTGCCACAAAGGACCACAGTACCATCGGAGTACTAGTACGGATGCATCCATACACACTGTGGAATATTCCGTCACTGCTTTGAAAGTTTAGGTCATGGTTTTACCCTAAAAATGTTTCTGTTCTCAATATTACATACTTTTTGATAATTACCCAGGTTGATAGAAAAAGCTCTCCGTCCTTCATTTGAACACTGTAAAATATTTCATTACACAAACCATCTAAAATTCACTTATCCACAATCTTGTTAATGAACAACTATATTGTCACCGATTATTTGTGGATGGCAGAAGGGAAGATACTAATTTCATCAGCTCTATGTGGACTTCCAATTGTCCTTCTGCCACCGGTCTAGCTGCCTCTCCTTGTGCAATAGCTTGGTAGGCTAATGACCGCGCTGTAGAGCTCTCCTTATGAGCAGCAGGTCCATTTTCCCCTTCCGTTGTGTGATTTCTGTTCCTTGTTAAAATTGTCTTGGCTCTTCTTGACCCTTTGTCCTTCCATATGAGCTTTGGATTATCTTGTCAAACACTAGGAAATTTGATTTTGTTCGGAAGGTATTAAGTCAGTAGATTTCTTGGAAAGATGTGGGTATGTTTATAGGATCAAAGCTGTTGAGCCATTAACATTTATGTCTCCCCATTTCATCACATTTTCTTTTACATCTTTCAACACTTCATTCCATAGAAGTCTGATATGCTAATTTATTATTGTAACCAGAAGCATTATTTCTTTTCACATGTGGACCTCCCAACCTTAACCTAAATATTCCTATGATTTTTTAACATTATGACACAAGAGTTCTATACATGTCTCAACACTCATCATGTTCAGTGTACTCTGAATCCCCTGTATCTATGTCCCCCATCCCCTCTGGGAACCACCGCTTTTTCTCTCTAGTTAAGAGTCTGGCTCTTTCTGTTTATCTCCTTTTCTGTTTGTCTATAGTTTGATGTAGATGATCTTAGATTTTCCATGTTTACCATATTGGCTGAAAATAAGAACAGTTTCTGTTCTTTTTTGTCAATTTTTCAAACCCCTTTGTCTTTTTCTTGTGGAGGAAGAAAGCCACGGTGACTACAGCCTCCAATATAAGGTTGGGTAAAGGTCATGCCGGACATTCCAACCACTCTTGATTGTAATGGAATTGCGTCCAAAATTTCACCGGTGAATTTGACATTTGAAGGAGGTTTTTTGTAGTTGCACTTTCTGTCATTCAGATAGTTCCTTTCAATGACTAATTTGTAAGAGGATTTTTTCTTTGTCATCATTCAAAGCTATTGAACATTGTTGACTTTTCTTTCTAACCCATTCAAGTGTCAATATGAATTTTAGTTCTTTTTTTAAAAAAAGATTTTATTTATTTATTTATTTGACACAGAGAGATCACAAGTTGGCAGAGAGGCAGGCAGAGAGAGAGGAAGGAACAGGCTCCCTGCTGAGCAGAGAGCCTGACGTGGGGCTCAATCCCAGGACCCTGGGACCATGACCAGAGCCTAAGGCAGATGCTTAACCAACTGAGCCACCCAGGTGCCCCTGAATTTTAGTTCTTATCCTATTAACGTGAGAAATGACATTAGTAGGTGTTCTGATTCGAAATATCTTTGCATCCTTAGGATAAATCCTTAGTTTTTAAGAAGGTTTTGTACACTACTGAATTCAATTTCTGAAAATTCTCTCTTATTCTATTTTATTTTATCCTTTGTTCCCATCTACAGTCATAAACTAGATTGCCTAAAGTTTCCTCCCCTGTACTGTTCTTGTCCTTTAGTCACATGGGATTAGAATTATATCAGATTGTTCTATATTTGTAAAATCATTTAGATAGCCTTTTTGTTTCCTTTAAGATGTTTCCAGTACAATGAAGATGATGGAACACAGTGATATTTCCTTGTAAAACTATCTGGAACTTTTGGAGCAGAAAACTTTTGCTAACTAATTCCATTTTGTTAAGGCGCTCAAGAAATATTTATTGAATCAAAAGAATTGATGCATGGATGAAAAAGGTATTTTTAAGGAAATCTTTGGCATTACTTGTGTTTTCTTAAGCGTATTTTCTTAAAGTAGTTTTAGGTTTACCCCCTGCTGCTGCATGAGCAACAATCTACCCCTGGGATCACCATGACTCATCAGAAAGGTCCATTTGTCCTAAATGTTGAATCTACCCTGAAACACCATTATCAACTGAAGACCATGGTTCACATTGGCCTTCATTCTGGGTGGCGTACATTCTATGGGTTTGGACAAAAGTACAATGACATATATCCATCATTAGAATGTCATACAGAGTATTTTCCTTGTCCTAAATATCCTCTGT